GTGTGCGTGCATGCGTGCGTGCGTGTGCGTGCGTGCGTGTGTGTGTGTGTGTGCGTGCGTGTGTGTGTGTGTGTGTGTGCGTGCATGCGTGCGTGCGTGTGCGTGCGTGCGTGTGTGTGTGTGTGTGCGTGCGTGTGTGTGTGTGTGTGTGTGCGTGTGTGTGTGCGTGTGTGTGTGTTTGAGGGGGAGATTTAATGCTGAGCTTTGATGGGAGCAGACTGATCCCACCGGTGGACTGCACTCGTCTTGCCCTCACTGACCAATCGGCTCTCCTGGAGAAAAAGCAGGAAAAAAAAAGTTTATTTTGTGTATCTGAACGACTCCACTGGTAATGTTGTACATTTATGGAGTAATCTTAGTTTTATCCAATTCTTATTTGTAAAGTAGTTGACCCTCTCTTTATGTTATATGTGCCTTAGTGTAATGAATGTATAAAATGAAGACGCTCCTCTCTCCTGGGTGTTGTTTGTTAGTCCTGGCAGTATAACCTTTGACCTGCAGTTCAGATCAGCCTTAAAAAGTCCAACTTGAGCCCATTGGCACTGTGTCAGAACCCGATCCGACCGGAGCCCAAAGTAAACTCGACATACTAAGATTTTACTGCTTTTATTTTTTAAAACCACCATGTAAGTGAGCAGTGTAACTCCTCCTGTTTGTAGTTTTTGCTTGGCATCTCCCAGCTCCATCTTGTTGCTTGTTGTAACCTCAACATCAGTCAAGTGCAAATCTTCTGGGATGTGTGACTGATAGGAATCTATTTCTGCCGCTGCTGGAGCGCAGCATGCAGTGCGCCGCTGCTTGTTTCAGCCTGATTAACCTCTGCAACCTTGTTTATGTTCTGAATTTGTCCAACAGCTTAAACTATCTAACTCCTCAGTTAAGAAGCAGATTACATTTGCAGTATGTAACTTCTAAAAAATACTTTTTTCCCCCCATATTTAATAAAACTGTCACCATGTGACAGTTTGATATGAGTTAAGCTGTGAAAAGGTGGCGCTGCTCTGCCGTCACCCAGTACTGCGATTGTGGGCTTCACAAACAGCCAATCAGAGCCAGGAGGCGGGTCTTAGCGTTGTCAATCATTCTCCTGCAAGTTGTTCGAGGTGCTAATGGCGAAATAACTACTTACTGTCACTGTCCTCGGTGGCTATGCTAACTAGCATTAGCATATGTTGTGGTGAATCATTTGTATCTCATCAAAGAGGAAGCGGGAGAGGGTGATCACGAGAGTGATTGACAGCGCTAAGGCCCTCTTCCTGGCTCTGATTGGTTGTTTCTGACAGATCATTGTATTTCTGCAGTTAGTACAGGGAGGAAGCATTAAGCTCCATTTTTTCACAGATTATCTGTCTTACATTATGTTGTAACTTTTACAACTATATATCATGTATTCTTGTTTGGTATTCTCTGTGCGTATTGCAGGATAATCAGAAAGCCGAGCCATTCTGTATGAGTCACTCAGCTACTCAAGGAAACTATGTTCTCTAAAATATATATATATATATATATATATATATATATATATATATATATATATATATTATATTTTTCAAGAGTTTTGTGTGATTTTGTTGCATTGTTTGCTGTTCAGTTCTTAAAAGATGTCTTTCTTATTTCAGAACAAAGTGAGCGACCAGGAGGCAGGAAAACTGACAAGAAGTATGGAAGAGCTGCAGCTGGAGCACAAGAGGTACAGAGTTCATTACTGACGATTTTATATCTTAAAGTCTATCTATTTAATCTGCTGGCGCCAACTAACGTTTTTCTGCTAACGTTTATTAGCAGATAAACGTTGTTAATATGCAAATAATAGCAGATTAAATCTGCTATTTAATCTGCTGGGGTTCTCAGGAAACCCAGCATATTGCATCGAGTCGTTGCCTAGCAGCACTCTGAAGAGAACAAAACCACAGAAGAAGATAAGATAGCAGCTGACTGTACAGTAGCTCACAGAGCAGATAGCCTGACTAATCAACAAACTAGCGTCAGCTTGTTAAACTATGAAGGGCAGAACAGAAAAAAAAAAAAAATCCTGCAATAATTATTTGGAAACTCCTAAATTTCGCGGGTCTATTTTTAGTATTTTTTATAGTCACAGTAGTAGAACTAATTCATGTTTTTTCCTTTTAGGTCTAAGAAATCAGATCCTGTTTGGATAAGATATATGTACATAACATACAAGTTTTGTGATGTCACACTTTGACATCACAAAGTGTGATTTGTTTACTCATTTGCAGCATGGAGGAAATCAGTAGTTCTGGTGAACTTGAGGACACACTGGAGGTCAATTTTAAAGGGGCCGTATTTTGTAAAATCAACAGTCTTGAACTGTAGATATTTTTAAAATTTTATTCCTTCATCCAAAATATATCTGGAGTGTTTCCTTGATTTTTTTCATGCAAGTTTGAGAAATCCTTTCATCTCCATGGCAACCATTCAGCTGTGTAAAACACCTGGGTGAACCTATCCCCGCCTTCAAGGACAAAGCTCCTCCTCAGAGCTGCAGTTTCCAATTTTCAAAGATTCTTTTTTACAGAGCAGCCCTTCCCTGCAACTTCCCCTCTCAGTTCCTTCAGACTAGCCAGCAGCAATTAGCAAACACCTGGTGGAACTGAGCATCAGCTGAGTTCATTATAGAGCTACTTCTCAGTGCGGCGCTGGTAAAAACATTGCTAAAGGTTTAATAGAGGAGCCATGTTGTGGTGACTTCCTGAAGGCAGAGTTTCAGAAAGAGCAGGAGCTTCTTAAAGAGACAGAGGCCCAATTTTATAATTAGCCAGTGAAAGGAAAATTACAAATTACAAATCATTTGAAGGGCAATAAAGTCAAGAACAGATTGAAAACCAATTTCCGCCCAAGAGCTGTTGTTACCTTGAACGCAGATAATCCATCTGACCTGATCTTTATTAATTTATTTTTCCTCAGCATCCGTTATTACTGTGTTCCTACCATTTTATATTTATTGAAATATGTTTATTTATTATTATTTTATTCAATAATTTGACTTTCCTTAGAAAGCCTATAATTGCTATTTTTAAAATTTTGCTATAGTTTCTTTCATGACAGATGACAATAAACTGAATCCTAATATATACAGCATTTTTACAACAACTGAAGGAGACACAGTTACTTGATTGTGCTGTGAAATGTGCCTGGCAGGCACCTCATATTTCCCATATAAGGAATAAAGTCAAACCAAGCGCTAAATAAGATGAACAGTTTGTTGTGTTGTCCCCAGTTGGACTGCTTGTTGGCCGAGTCGGTGAACGCTGAGTGTCTGCAGGCCGTTTAATAACCTCACCATGTTTCCGAGGTTCAAACACTTGAAGCTCCCTGTATTTCGGAGCCGTCCTGTAATTTGTCTGAAACATCTTTTCCTTTTTTTTTAACTGTTCCCTGTGTGTTTCGACAGGGTGAACCAAGCCTTTCTCGATAAGCTGGAATGTAACGCCAGGGGGACGGAGGTCGAGGCGAGCAGCTGCTCCAGCCGGGAGGAAGAGCGTCCACGTTTGACCCCTGACGATCACAGGCGACACGCCGCAGCCGGACGCGTCGCCCTGACTCACCCGGAGCCCGGTCCAGAGCGCCGCTGCTCCGACTGGACGGAGGAAACTGGTGAGCTGAAATGACGTGTGTGGGCAGACCGCAATCTACTCGTTCTCATGCCCCGTTTTTTTTTTCTTTGAAATTTGGCTGCGCGCTGGTTAACCAAACCTAAATCAGGTATGTGACAGGAGTTGGCCAACTCATCGTTTGTGAGTTTGTCTGTTTAGTCTGTAATAAATCAAACACTGCGATGCTTGCCAGGAGGAACTTATGCGTGGCATGTCGTCTATCTGTTCCTCTCGGTTCTTAAATCTCGCAGACACCTGCAGTTTGTGGGAATCTGGAAGAGTGAGACTGTGTTTTTTTCTTCTTTTTTTTTTTTCCCCGTCTCCTTTTGAAAACAAAATGATCTGAGCTAAACGTGACACTTTAATTTAACCTCCCTCGCTTGCTGTGATGCGAACAGAAATAGCATCAACACCCAGACTTCAAGTTTCTTTCACAGAGCCAACAATTTTCTAGAAGCTGCACTGGAGTGACGGAGTTGGCATGAAACCATCCCAGCATATTATGATGCGCCTCCTATAGCTGAAAATGACACCTGATGCTGTAGATCACCTGCGGCTCATATCTCAGGAACAAAAACAAGCTGTTGTTCTAACTGAGCGCTGCTTCTGCCTGCAGCGATCAGCAAAGCTGATCTGTGTATGTACAGCTGACAGCTGCGTTACTCTGCTGGGAGGGAATGTAAACTGGCAGAGAGGTTTAGAAAATCAAAAATGATTCCTAATGACTGTGATTCTATTTACTGTGTGTTAGTTTTTAGTGTTTGTCCTAGAACACTTAACGACAATAATTGTGTTACTGTAGTTAAGTACAGTAACATGGTCTGAGTAGAAGTAAGGGTTTAGATAGGATCTAATTAGGTAAGAGATAAGGCTACAATGGGGTATTAGGGTCATTGTAGAAAGGGAAACAAAAGTTCATTTTTACAAGAAACAAAAAAAAATAATTTCAGAAATTTTCAAAAAAAAAAATTGCAGGGAAATTTATGAGTTTCAAAAGTCGAAATTTTTTTTTTACCCTTGAAATTTCCACGTTTTTTTTCTAGAAAATGTCTAAGATTAATCTCAATTTTTTTCACAGAACAAAACGAAACGTCAGCAGCCTTTGGAGCTGCCAGTCGAATTTGCAAAGCGTCGCGCCGGCAGCACCAGGTGTAATAACAGGATTTACGCAGAAGTGAATCGCCATGCTTCAGCGTTTTCCTTCAGAATTCATTATTCCTCAGAAATCCCTGCACCATGACCGACACAGAGAGAAGATTCTGTTTTTACTTCTTTCTGCCATGTCTCTGACTGCTATAGACGGATCCCGGGCTTAAAGCATCTCGTCCTGCCTCTGCATTGTTAGTATTTACTGGAATAACGCAGCAAAAACAGAACGGCTTCACTCGTCCACGGTCTAAGCCAAAATCTCCAGGAATATAGCAAAACCTTCAACCTCAGCGCCGCCACTGTGGGCGCAGTTCTGCTTGTCACAATCCCACAACATCCTCTATCCATGACGGAATGCGTCCGCCAGATCCGACCCGAGTTTCACCAACATGAAGCCTGTGTTTTTCCGCTCGGCACTAACCTGTCGCCTCGCTGAGCGAGCAGCAGACTCTGTTGTCCTCGGCGATGGACGGCTTCACGGTCCCTGCGACAGGAAGCGGCGCGAGGTTCAGTTCACGGAGAGCGAAGACGACGCCTCGGTTTGTGTTTACAGTTCGGTTGGCTGCCAACAGGAAGCAGCTCGCTCTCGTCTGTCTCTGACTCTGTTAATAAAACAACGAAGCATCACGTAGCGAGAGACAAATGTCCAAATGATGGTTTTGAGTAAATAAGCAGCTGCAGCTGCTGCACATCCCACATGATCAGGTAGCTGCTTCTGGAGATAAAGATGTTTACTTCTTGCTCTTCTTGTGCTTAACTTCACCTGTCTGACTGGTTCTTAGTTTATTCACTTGTCATCACCATCATTTTCCTTTCACTGGCTACTTATGTGCTCCTTTGTATGACATTAAATCTCAGTAAAATATTTGTTTGTAATGTGAGAAATGTGTAAAACTTTACCAGCTGTGAACATGTTTGACACACACACACAGCAATAGAAAGCCAAGTTCTGCCCTCACAGGTCAATATCACCACTCTGCAACATGATATTTCACTTTTATGTATAACGTTGTTGACTTTTGTCAGGCTGAGCTGAGCTCAGTTCAAGTACATCAAGGGAAAAAGTTGCTTTAAGCTCAAAGGGGTCAAAAATAATCAAGAGCTGGTTAGCAGCGTGAAGGTAAACCCAGGTTTTAAACTGTCCTAATCAAAGCACGCTCTGCGCTTTTCTCTTGCTCTTATAATGCATCACAAAATAAATACAGAAATCCCTGCAGGACGTTCCAGTGTTTTATTGTGTTTGTTGTGACCTAAAATGACGTTTTGCGTTCAAAGTCGCAAATCGTTTTTTAACCTTTATTTTTGTCTTCCAAAAAATAAAGTTGAAATTGCTGCACATGACCTTCAGAATACATAAAAGACAGGATTTTAACGTAGTGAGTGTTCAAAGGGGAAGGGATGTTCCTGAATTAGAAGCTTGATACAAATCAAATCTCGTCCTGAGGATTTGTCAGAGGGCAACAGAAGATTTCAAGTTAACACGAACGGTTTACACGGGACAAGCAAATCCTACGGAACATCTCAAAATGTTTTGGAGAAAAAGAAAAAGAAAAAGCTACTGTTACAGTTTAGCGTCAAACCTGAATCACATTTCAGGTTCAGCTTTAAATAGCCGTTGTGAAACAGGAAGTTAAATTAGAAGAAAGCTAATTGGTCAAAATTCACAGCTGAGTTGCAGCTATTGGTCAGAAAAGAAGGAACCCGGATTCACATAACTCCGGCCCGTCTGTCTTCCAGATCCGCAGGCCGACCGCGACTGGAACCTGATGAAGCTGGTGAACATCTTCCCAGACTGCAGCAGAGACTTCGTCCAGGACATCCTGACCCAGTGCAACGGCGACTACGAGCAGGCCTGCGCTCTCCTCGTCAGCACGCTCACTTAAATTTGATTCGCTGTGGCAAATGAGACGGCAGGACGTTTTAGGACAAGCGGATTCATGTGGGGAGGCTTTGTGCTCACGTATTAAATGCCCCGCTGCCTGCCATACGCAGCTGCTACAAACGGTACCTACAGGGCCGAGAGCGACTCCGAGGATCTGCTTCCTATTATGCCGTTAATCTCCGAGCGTTCGGTGCGTTGTGTCTGTCTGGTGAGTCACGCTGGCTTTTTGAGCCCACTCAGAGTCCGTGTTGTTCTGATATGAATTTGGTAAAGGTCGCTGTTTATGACTCACTATGTTTAAATCATATTTTGGGCTTTTAATTTGATCAATATGTTAAAAAGATTATAAAAGTTTTATTGTGTTTGGTTGTTTTTTCTGTTGTTGCTATCTGGTCAGATTGATGCTCTGAAGCTTTAGAGGTTCCTGGTTAAACAGCAAAAACACTAAATCTTACCAAGTGTTTTCATCTTGTTTCACGTGCAAATATCTTGGTACACTTGAAACAAGACAAACGTAACTTACAAGGTAAGATAGAGGAGCTGATTTTGAGTCAATAATTCCTCAATATTGATCAATAGCACCAGTTCTAATGGCAGATTATTTCACTTAAAGGAGAAATGTCTTCTTTAGGTGAAATAATCGGCCCACTGCTTTTTCATTGACTTAAAACAAGTTCCCATTTCCAGCTGACAACTTCCTTGTGAGTCAGTTTGGTCTCATTTCAAGTGTGCCAAGGTGTTTGCATTAGAAACCGATTGCTCAGGTTTAGTGTTTTTGCTGCGATCCGGTGCTTCCTGTGAGGGAACCAATCAGACGACAGTGGCGACAGAGACCAACGGGTGGTGCTGTCCACACGAGGGGCTGAAAATCCCCCACCAATTTAGCATGAAGTCATGTTTACTGCTGATGTCATCCGGCAAATGTCGTTCCTCCAGGGATCAGCGTGAGGCTTACAGGCTGCGGCCATGACACCCGCCACCACCAGGAAACAGGAAAAATCCACGGCAATAATTTCTGTGTCAACAATTGTCACTTCTTTTATGTTCACTCGATGGCATGCGACTGCTTTCAAAGAGACCCATCGGGATTATTTATTGATTTTGCCGTCAGAGGTTATTCACTACAAGTGAATTGAAAAGTTTATGGAACGAAATGATTTGAACTCATTATTAATTTTACCCTGGAATGTTTTGCTTTGTTTTGTTTTAAAGCTGCACAAGCCAATAAATTGTACTGGAAATAGATGGGATGTTACAGAAACAGTATGACGTGTGTTGTTTTTGTTTTTTTTTAAATACTTTTTGGAAAATGTCAAATAAAAGCAAATGTTTTTACACTGCTTCGAGTTTACTTAACTTAAAAAAGAAATCCCAGAAAGTGAAATACAAAACAGACTTCGATCAACTTCTCTCTTAAAATTAGTTGACAGATTTTCTCTTTTCAGCTAAACAACAAGTTGAAGAGCAGGTACGGTGGGAAAATGTCGCGTAATATTCTTACTGTCAGCAGATTCTATTAATGGGATTAGTTTACTCTAGGAAATGAGTTTTTCATTTAGGATAACACTAGCCTATTATCTGCTAAGAACAAACAGCACAAAGAATAAGAAAATGTGTGTTTTTGATTATTTTTTATATATAAAAAAAACTCTTATAGCAATAAGTTATAGAATAGAATTTTCTTGACAGATTTCTAGGGAGAAATTGCTTATTTAATGACAATTTACGCCATATAAAGTGTTAAATATGAGTGAATACCAATATTACTGTAAGCCATGTGCAATTTATGAACAAAATATACTCTGCAAAAGCTTGCCAAGTATTTTTGGTCCAGTTTCTAGTGCAAATATCTTATTAGTACACTTGAAATAGGATAAAACTAACTTAAAAGTAACTTTTCAGCTTGTTAAGTCAACAATTCCTTAATATTGACGAAAAAGTTCTAATTCCATTGGAAGATTATTAAACTTATGGGAAAAATGTCTTGCTATAAGTAAACTCATGTTTTTTTAATCATTATTAAGGAATTATTGACTCTAATGAAGCCCTATATCTTGCCAGTAAGTGACTTCAAAGTTAGTTTTATCGGTAACACTTTATTTGAAGGGGGTTGAATAAGACTGACATGACACTGTCATTAACATGACATAACACCTGTCGTGAACATGAATAAGCCTTCATGAAGATTTATGACTGTTGTCATAAAGCGTCATTCGGTGTCATGTCAGTCTTATTCACCCCCCTTCAAATAAAGTGTTACCGTTTTATCTTATTTCAAGTCTACTGAGATGTTTGCACTATACCAAAAATACTTGGTAAGATTTTGTGTTTTTGCAGCAATTTTAATATGACAAAACATAAAATAAATAAAATAACAAGTATCCACATGGAAATATGTTTATCTATAAACAAATCTCTAAATGAGTCCAGAGTAAAAAAAAAAAAAAAAAAGACCTAAAGACATTAAAACCAGTGTGTTTCCCTTTAAGCAGAAACACACCTGTACAGAAAACACATGAACAGTCTGAGTGTTCCGTCCACTGCGTTGGTTATCATGGTGTCTGTTAATAATATTGACTCAACATTCTGAGTATTTACCAGAGAGCTCAAACTGATGGTTGCCAAAAAACCAAGAGGCTGTTGAGAGAATCAATAGGAGTGTTAGTCCTGAGGACGGGGCGGCTGTACCGCTGTGGAATTTTGACCTTTTCCTGGAAACAAGTTTGCAGATAAAACCATGAATTCCCCTTCGTTTCCCTTAATGGCTCGATGTTTTGAACAACGTAGATTTGTTTCACTTAGGAAATTGTTTTCAGTCCATCTGACTTTTGTTGAAAGCCCTGAACTCTGCAGCGTTTGTGCGTGTGTGTGTTCTTTGTTGCTTGCAGAGGGCTGTGTCAGTTACATCACTGCAGCGTTCGTAAGGGAATTTTGGGGGATGTTGGGCTTCTTCTTTGTGTCTGTCGCAATAAATCCATTACTGTTTACATGCGTCCTGCCAGAAACGACAACATTAGTCATTTTGCAGTGACGGCTGAAAACAACTCTGCTCGGCGCTGAAGCCGAAGGTAGCGTGAGTGCGTTGTTTCGGGGTGGAGTAGGAATGAACGCTGCGGCCCGCAAATGCACGACTGCAGAAAACATGAGTTTGGGTCAAACGCTGGAGCAGAAAGGTACGGGCTAGATTTGCCTGAATTCTTCTTACAGCAAAAATGATCCGACCGTTTTCTGCATGAAATTGTGCAGTGGAACAAAAGCGTACACATTCTTTTCAATCATTTTATTATACGATTGAAATCTGAAGAGTGTGGCATGCATTGAGCTCTGATGCCTCGGAGCAAAATCAAGTGCGTCCAAACTATGATCGGAACTCAACTGACTAGAAGATAAAATCACATGTCGGTTTATAAGTCGGTGTATACATGTGCACCTGAATCAGATGGATGGTTCATGAGCAGAACTTTGTAAAACTTGCTGACCCGTCCAGAACGTGATGCTCCCAAAAGATGCAGAAAAGCAGAACTCTCCCACTGTCATTCCTTTGAGATGCCAGGGAAGATTACCTTTTTACTGACCCATTTATTTAGGGGTAACGTTGTCTACGTTCACACAGCAGGTCTTTACGTCGTTCATGCTACTAATTCTGTGTGAACGCTTCAGGCAGTCAGACGAACATCGACGCCACACAGCAGCGCATTGTCAACGCAGGGAGCCGTTTATGGACCGATCTTAAAGTTTATTCGGCAGTGGGAGCCGACAGGATTCGCCACAACGTCATAACGAGACGAGGGAAGCTAATAAAACAGAAGCACAACTTCTGTGGAGCTCTGGCTGCAAGTTTGTCTGGATGTGCAGTCGGAGCTCAGGGTGCCGGGGTTGTGATATGCGCTTCACTTCTTTCGTAACTTTTAGAATCATAATTCTCCACCGTTGTTTACGTCCTGACGACGTCTTCCCTCTCGCGGCGCAGAGTCGCGACGCACGTCTCACGTCGATGACGTAAAAAAGTCGCCCAAAACGCAACATGACGGCTCAGACTGCAGACTCTTTGAAAACAGTCGGATACGAATCCGAATCGGCTCCACATGAGGAAGTGGCACGGATCTAATTTACTTTGGGGGAAAGGAGGTGAAAAGATCAGAACTGGGCCGTTCAGACGGACGTGGGTCGCCATCGTTTTCCTCCGGGGTGTCACGGTCTATTTTGACCCTCCTGAGTTCCACTCCCCGCCTCCATTACTTCCACAAAGCCTGTTTGAGTTTTAAAACGTGTGGGATTTCTCCAGCTTGAATTATTTACTTGCCTTATGGACAGTGTCGGCAGGGCTGGTCTTTCCTGGTTTACGAGGAATTGTTTTTGCTTGTTTGTTTCTGAAACAAGACTTCGCTTCCTGATAGCAACGGAAGGCGTGTTGGAGAACTTTTCATTTTCATCTTCTTAACTTAGCGAAACTTCGACAACAGATTATGTCAGGAAGCCTCATGACCAACAGGAAGTTGGAGTGCAGTCGCGATACCAGACACGATCAAAGGGTAAGCAGGGCTGTCGAAACAAGGAAGGAGCTGACACAACAGAATGAGGAACTCAGGAGAAATAAAACGTTTAAGCATAACAGAAACCAAAACCAGTAGAAGGAGAGATGTTTAGCAGCTTTCGGGATCTGAGTGCACCAGCAGGAAGCTGTTTGACAGACGGCAGCCATTGTGGAGGGATCAGTTGTCCTCAAAGGTATTTTGTTTTAGACACACCTGAATAAGAAACTCATTTCTCTGCAGTTTCTCCAATAACGGCGCAACGTTGAGTCTCACTTCCCACAGATCTCTGCTAACCTGAGTAGTAAGCTTCGACACACTAAAACAGGACAACAGCAAGCGTTTTTTTTTTTTTTTTTTTTTTTTTTTTTTTTTTTTACATATCTGACGAAAGGCATCATTAAGAAGCACATAGCTCAGTGGTGATGGGGTGGGGAGAACAGTCAGGGCGGTTCTCGCCCACATCGCATCCTGAAAACGGAGCGCTGAAATGTTTTTGGCTCCGGTACTAGGAAGAAGCAGCGATGATGAATCCTTTTCAGCCAGGGATCCCATGGTGGAATGTCAACATTCGAGTGGCAGCGCACTTATTATTGCGGATCTGGAACGCTCGCTTTAAAAGCGTGTTTGTGTGTGTTTGCCAGGGTCCATGTGCAAGAGATGGAATCGCATTCGTCTCTCAAGTCAAGTTTATTAGCTTGGCGCATTTCAGCAGCGAGGCAGTCCATCAGAAACACGCAATAACCGTTTGTGAAGCAAACGGCACATTTTGTCAAGTGCTATTGTCAAAATCATTAAGAATAGTCACCATCAAAGAGGAATCTCTGTCGAAGAAGAGCTAAATTCAATGGAGCTTTTTAGTCTGGTTTCCGTCTGTGGTGTCTGGACTATGTAGCATGTTGCAAGAAATAAGTTTAAGCTGAATTATTTGGGTTCAGGAAGTTCTCTCCAAGACGACAGAGAGGAAATGATAACTTTATGTGACATCGCTATTCATATCAGTCAACCGAGCAGAGCCGTCCCAGAGTATCCTCCTTCTTGTGCTAGAGACGTCATGACGTCTTCACAGGTCAGGAATTGAACTCCTGCACTTTTGTTGTTCGTAAATCTAATTCAAAACACGAAGAGGTTTGACTTTGAATGTAACGGTGTGAAACTGAGCCTCTGACTTCTTACAACGACATTCCTCCATGAATCCATTAACACCGTTTTTAGCTCGTGTCATGACTTCCACCAGGTGTTTGCTAATTGCTGCAGGCTAGTCTGAAGGAGCTGAGTGGAGGAGTTGTGGGGAGGGGGCTGGTCTGTGAGGCGGGGGGGTCGGCTGCAGACTGCAGCTTAGAGGAGGAGCTTTGTAGGAGCAAATGTTTAGGCGCTCCCCAAATGGTTGCCATGGGAGATTAAAAGATTTCTTAAAGAATCCAAGCAACACCCCGGGTGTGTTTTTGATGAGTGGATAACATTACAACATGACATGAAAGCTCAAAAACGTCAATTTTACGTTTATGAAAGTATTTAAAATGATCAGATCAAAAGGAGTTTAACAGCAAAGCGTGCCACACGTCTGTTCAAACGTGTTCCGGTCCACTGCATAAAATCCCAATAAAATCCACCGAACGTCTGTGGTTGAGGTGTGACACGATGCGAAACCTCCAGAAGGCCCCGTGCTCCACTTAGCTCGCTTCGCTCAGCGGCAGAATCCCGTCCTACACGCCCGCCCCCTCTCCTGACTTCTCTACTACGACTTTAGTTTTGCTT